ATATGTCCCACCACTATTTTTTAAGTTGAATGTCTTTTTCCAATGGTAGATTCAACTCTTTTGGCCCTTGAATTATTTGCTCAACTCACTCTGAGAGAAAATTGTTATCTTCACCCAGGAAACAAGTTGCAAGAAAAATTCTGGAGAATTGCACAGTATAAACAAGTATTTTGCTTTTCAAGACACAGTGTCAAGGTATTTTTTTTATATTAATATCAGCCACTGAACTGAATAAATGATTCCTATTTAACTACATCAGAAGTATATGTTGTTATTGCAAACGAACCTACCAAGTTTGATGGACTTCAGGTCTAGGAATTGATAAAAACAATATTCTTCGAACTTGCCACACCCTGTATCTTGAAAAACTACGGAACCTATTTTTATTCGCTTGCGAGAAATGTATGCTTGAGTTTTGTCACAATGTTATATGTAACACCGTGCAGATTTTGTTGGAAATAAAATCAGCCGATCACGTGCATCGAATCTTTTCAAGAATGCACTATACGAATCATATTATCAAATTTCTTCATTTAATTTGACAAAATAGTTTCAATAATGATAAATAATGTTTCAACTACCGACATTTCCAGAGAAATGAATATCCAGAATCCAAAACTCTAACAATATAGAATTTCTTCAGATACTTCATGTCTATGAACTTTTATGTCACAAGCTCCCATACTTCCATATTTTGAAATAAATGATATTGAACCAAATCATGGAATGAACTTTCACTACTCATTCTACCTTCTTTTTCACACCATACTACGAAGAAAGATAATGAGAAGATTCAGGTATAGGAAACTACCTACCGTCGCAGTCGTTCTGTGTAAGAAAGATAGATATAATAGACCGTGGGCATAAGCAGATATTTAGAGGATATCAAGACAGGAGCCATTACGATTTTTTTGGGCTGCAGTGTACCTATGATTTTGTGACAAAAGAGATTCAATAGTTTTGCTCACCTGCTAAGTCGCCAAATATCCAATTGTATCCGAGATATGCCTGTTTTAGAATATACGCCATTTTAACAGAAATAACTACCTATGAAATATTTTGATAAAGTCTTATTGAATTGAATTATTGGATCGTGAACGTCATTTTGAATATAGTCGAATTCCTTCACGCTGATTAGATTGATTGGAAAAACGAATGTGTAGATTAGCTTCATAGGCATAGGCGGCTGAATATTTTTTCGGTTAATTTTCAAATATGGGGTTCAATAATGGTTGAAGAATCATTGAATCAGTTCAGGTATCAGTAAAGCGCGAAAAATATCAAGTATTTTTGTTTCAACAGAAAACGGAGAAAAAAAATTAAATTGAGTGGACACGACACTCAATAAAACATTAGAAAATGATTGATAATTGATTTAAAAAGGCTAGTTTGCTGTAGATTCGTTCAACATAATTTAAAATAGTTTCATTGACTATACAAAAGCCCTAAAACTGCTGGGACGCAGAGGTATACCATGTGTAAAAAGTTCAAAATAAGTTTATTGGACCCAACTTATTTTCATTGAAAAAAATGTATCGTTTGTCCGTGAGATGAGTTCAAAATTTTTAAAGAAAAACACATTTTTGTACGCTGTTCAAAAATGAGTGGAACGAATTGGATGAAATTTGACTAATGTGCATTTTAGAGAATTACCCTTCTTTTGGTGATCAAAGAAACCCAAAAAAAATTATGTCAAAGTTGAAACCCCCCTCACCCCTTGAATTTTTTTCAGAACATTCATAGGAGTAGTGAAGGGGTTCTCAATTTTTCTGATCGAGATGACGATTAATTATCTTCATTTTGTTACCAATGTGAATTAATGCATTTTGCTCAGTTGGTTGCTCCTCATATGTAGAGTGTACACACAAGTATTTTTCATTTTTCTATACTCAACCCTGGATTAAATAAGGTACCATACGCCTATGCCTTGCATAACTTATAGTCCAAATATTCATTATGTATGAGGATTGCAACTCATATTCACTTGCATTTCTATGACAATTCAATTACGATGAATAAATATCCATGACCTTTTATATATTTTCCTCAGAAATCATATACAAAGCAAGATTCCATTACCCTACATTGCATTAAGTCAAGATGGAGCTTGGCACCGTTTGGCACCTTAGAGGTACCTTCTTATAGTGTGACAATCTTTGCATCATGGATTTTTTTTTCTATCTCATGAATTTGAGGTTCTGGAATCAGAAACCGATAGATTCAAAAATGGTTCATTGTTTAAGAAGCACGGAATAATAGTTATCTGTCACAAGTGGGAAATTAGCATTCTGTGCGAGTTATACACTATACTTTTTCTACGGGTGTAACAGATAATAACGGAATTGTTTATTTCCTTTGCTTGTTGCCATCTGAATTCCTCTCGAGTAATGCTCTCATCTATTAGACAGAGCTGTCTTGCTTAAAATTTGACATTTCATGGCTGATGAGATTTTGTGTGAAAAATACACACAATGAAGTCATTGTGATATCAGATACGGAAATGAAATTGATGTCATATTTCATACAAAGTATCTCATTGATTTATGGAACACAGTAAAAATAGAGAAATTTTGTGTTATAGCCGTAGGAAACCAAGATTTTCTCATATGGCCAGAATGCACCAGATATTCCATGAATATCTATATCATATTCCTTTCAGAATATTGGATTATCCTAGGAATTCTCTGGAATATTTTAGAATATCTGTGAATATTCTCTGAAATGGAAATTCCTCAAGATATTTATAGAACATGTCCAACAGAATATGCGATGGATGTCTAGAATACATTCTAGGAATATTCCTTGAATGTTCCTTGAATATTACAATAATTATCATGTTGCAAATGCACCCATTTACATTCAAGTATATTTTCCTTCAATTCCAAACATCTCAGAAACGGTGAATGATACGGAGTTGGTGAAAGTAAAGATGTAAATACATCATAACATCGAAGCAAAATTGAAATAGAGAAGAAAGTTTCTTGAGCAAATTTTCATATTCGAAAAAATTGAGGAGACAGCGCGAAGAAAAAAAAACAGCCGTGTGTTCTGCTCATGTACAGAAGTTATTTATTGACTTTGAAGTTATTTATTCAGGTTGGGTTAATGAAAAAGACAGCCGTTAATGATTTTTTAATTAAAAATGAAAACAAGAAGCGTATAGTGTGTCGAGCATCTATTGATATACCGGGTGTAACAGGAATTGGTGATAAATCGAGAAATTTTACATTTTTAACAGGATCCAGGTTTGTCTAGAATCACACCTGACAATACGAGTACATCAGACTCCAATCAGAAAATGATACTGAATGCGAAAAAGCAATGATATACAGGGTGTTCTATTTGAAAATCAGAATTATTACCACTTCCAGTGAAACCAGAAGTGGAGAATGAAATCTATTTATGTCAAAAAGTGACGTTTACCTAGTTGATGGATCATTCCAAATCCCAATCACCTATCTCCAAAACTGAAGGACCAAAAGGGGGTATACCATAATCTTGTTACATCCGGTATATTAACCTGTCTCCGAGATAATTCAAAAGAAATAATGTAATTTGAAAGAATCATCACTACTAAAAGCAAGCTTCATTGACGATGAATCTATATTTTCGCATGGTTCATCAGAAACTGATCAGAGTGCTTCGTTTATCTGCTATTGTATTGGGTTGCTTGCAAAAAAAAAAAGATTGATGGCGTCACTGTGTCGCCATATTGATAATTTTGATATTTGATTTCTGTAGAAAGTAGTCAATGGATGGGGTCAAGTAGATTTTTTTCGAAGTTTGAATAATTCCACACCTTCTAAGAGCTGAAATAACGCGCACTCAATAGTACATGTAATTTATCAACTTTTTCGTTATTTACTCGAACTTATTTATTTCTCACACTTCCTAGCCTGTTCTCAGCGGTCGATTTGAAAAAACTCTTGACAAGTAGCAAAAGTCACGTGACCCCAACCGAGTAGTTCTTTTTTCCCATATTTCGAGGCAAAACTTAACAAACACAACGTTTTCTAAAATAAATTATTATTGATGCCGACTTTATGGATGACACGTTATAAATTTCAAAATTCCAACATAAAAAACTGAATGACGGCCTGTCCAATAATCTCGTTGTCACCTGGTATATTTTTGTTGATTCTTCTTACCAAAAAAACATACGAACTTTTTTTTATCAATATCCTCACCTAATCAGAAACATTTTCATTCAGTAATTTCACTCAAAAAACTGACATTAGATGATTTCTTTTTCGTTAAGAAGAGAAAATTATCTGATGAAAAAATGCTTTCCTGTTTCTTCTGTATTAGGGGAGCAAAAATAATAAATACCTATTTTCTTAACAATTTATTTCATATTGGCCGTTTCATATAAAAAAGTTATTCACCAAAATAATCCATCCTTAATCAATAATCAGACAATCTAGGGGTGAAAAATTATGGAAAATATGAAAAAATAATGTTGGAGACATTCGGATTATTCCATATTTTTGCTTTTTCTTACTCATCACATCTTTCTGATGCGTCATTTTGGTAACATAGAAGGAAACATTGTCGTCGAACATGTTTATAGCTATCTCGAGATTGTATCTGACTTATTTTCAAATGTGGCACCAGTATGATGTAGTAGGTATATAGGTATGTTTAAAATTCGTGATACTGAAATTCGAATATTCCTGCTAACATAAATATAGCATGGTAACAGCCCTATTTGTGTACATAATAAAAAAAAAGTGTTGCCTTCTGTGTTATAACAGTCAGCTCAGAAATCCTAATAACAACGCTGAACTTCATTTTACAATCAATATCACAACATCCTATATAAGAGAAATAAAATATACTACTGCACTTACTCCTAAAAAATATACAAACACATTTATTTCAATAACACACATAATCCTAAAAACTCTTTCAGTTGTTGAGCAGTTATTTTCCATGCGCAAACCTATCTAAACTCCTCAGAAGCAAGTAAGGTCCATCCACTCTTCCCACCATTGAGCAAGTTAATTCGCCTTGATTTTGTTTTGTACACTGTCAGTCTGCACTGCTCCATTCATTTTGGCTGCCGAAGTACCGTTTGATGATTTGTGTGCTTCTTCTTTGCAATCGGATTCTTTTTCGATAACCTTCTGTTTTTCTCTCAAATACTGCTTGACATAGAAACGTCCAAAAAGATACAGGAAATAGGCGGCTTGAACGCATAATAGATAATTTATAGGTCTAGGATAGCCGCATTCTCGGAAGAGTACTTGGAAGTTGTGCACAAATATTATGCAAAACTGGACCTGAAAAATAGAAATGAAACATTCAAAACAGCGATATTTTGATCAATGTAAAAAACTTCAGAAATTATAAGATTTCGACAAAATTATAACACATGTTTCGCTAATACAGTAGCTTCTTCAAGTTGAAATACTCGTACAATACACCCAACATTGAGCTGTCAAACTTTTATACAGGGTGTATCTAAATACTTTTCCTACGACTACTACTGTAAGTGATGGATATTGTACACAAAACAATGGCAGTAAGCTTCTCCTTACACACGTGTGCGTAAAGAGAGCGATCGCACGGTTTTCATAGGTATGTTGATAGATGACTTGTTTTGTTGCTTAGGCGATGTGTCAATAATAATTAAAAATTTCATTAATATCACCAGCTAGGTGGGTAGGTACTTATCTTTTTATCAATCAATCCAGCTATCCACCGAAACCGAAAGCATCAGAGGTAAGTTAGTTATATTGATAATCCTCAATTTCAGTTGAAAAAAATGATGTCGAGCGATGACGATGAGCAGATTATTTCTACACCACCAGAAATATTGGAAAAAGCTAGAATGGTAAAAAATGAGTTGCTACCCGCTTTTTCTCGTGAATGATACGAAATAGCAAATCAAAAATTGCTGGACTGGAGAATTAGAAATAATATATACCGTGTCATTTTCGGAAAATATCCTTTTAGTATATTTTAAAGAATTATCAAATTCGATGAAATCATCATCACTCTGGTCGATATATATTCCATGTTACGATCAACACTAAAAATCAATCCCAATATTAATATAGCAACATATTCTATTTCCTCAAAAGGGAAAGATGGATTCCGAAGTAAAAAATCAAAAATACTTAATGCTGAACAAATCAGTTATTTTCTGCAGAATGCTCCTGTTGAAGGTAATTTTTCAAATAACATACATACTCAACATTGTATTGATGAATTCCTTTTTCTTTAAATAACAGTAATAATTAAAAAAGATCAATCTTCGAAATTATATTTATAAAATACATATTTACTAATACGGAAAAATGGTGATAGCTCAGTTGTTGGAAGCGCTGACTCCGAACCCAAAGGTCGTGATTACAGAATCTCTCGTGCTGCATTGTTACAAATAAATAACCATTATGAATGTTAATTTGATATTTTTATACAATGTGTTTTTTGCTACCTATAAATAAAGCTGTTTAGATATGAAAAACGGCTCTATTTCAGTTCGAATTGAGGAAAATGTCTCGGTATGCAATGTATCAATAAACAAAACACAAGAATTGTGATTTTTAACTTTTCATGCAGCTGGCTTAGTGAAGGGAGACACGAAAAGTATAGTACAATTCTTTGAACATTATAGGGATTCCCTTTCGTGCGCTCCAATCGATAAAAAAAAAAAAAAAAAATACGCACTTGTGGAGTTACACACTCGCCGCTATGCGGCATCGTGTGTAACTCTCTCCACTTCGTGGGTAATATACGTTTTACAACTCTTGTTATGTAATATAGTATTACGAACCTAGAGGATTTATATCACATGTGAAACGTTTGCTGAGTCTTCATTTTCGAAAAGTACCCATAATCTACATCGGCCACGTTTATACCGTGTCTTGGTTAGCTAACTAATGACTATATTCTGACTAAATACTCTTGGTCAGTTTGGTATGAACCGTATACTTGGTAAAGTTACCAGCTGGTTTGGTTCCGAAAATCGTTGCGTTACAGACTGAAACAGTATGATGAACCAGACGGTGTAAACATTTTGGTCTACTTTTGTATAGCCTTGAATTGACTTGAGTGCAAGTGGCAGTTATTTCATGAGTTCTCATCATAATATTTCATTCAATTTCAGCTGATTCCGTATCCTACTTAAAGGTTTTATTCTCAATTTAGGAATTCAAGTAGAGTTCCACAACCTAACCTCAATAAAATAATCAAATTAAAACGAAGTTGGTAACGTTAGTCAACTGAAGATACATGGTGTAATCATGCGTTAACTGTGGAATTTGGTCTGAATTTAGTTAGATCTCCTTGGTAAGCATACCAACTATTCATACGGTATAAACGTGGCCATTAAAATCCGGTCTTAGTACCTACTTGAAAATATCTCTTGGGATTTAGTTCTTTCCTTGTAACATGTTTGAATGGAAAATCAAAGTAGTAGCAGCTGACTGTTATCTTACCATCTGCATTTTTGTCAAATGCCTTTTCCACCAAAGGTACTTCTGGTATTGTGGCCCCAGCGAAGAAAGGAAATAATATGCATACATGATCACGTGAATGAAGGAGTTGATAAGACCGAGTAAAGTTCCATGTCCACCTAAAAAGAAGAAATCACTGGTTATAGTAGTCTATAATTCTTTCAAATGTTTTTGCCATTCTTGATTATGACACTATTTTCACCAGTTACACGATCTTTATCTTTTCAACGACCATGACATGTCTCCTCGATTAGTTCATCCACTAGTCGTTTGATGACTGCCTAAATCAATGCAGAGATCTATTTTGTGTCTGCAATAGCACCACTTCCACAAGCAATGGCTGCTCTTCGAGCACCAAACCAGATCAAATTTCAAATGCCACCCAGTCGAGAGACAACACCAAGTTTATCCTTGATGATTCCAGGAAAAGTTTTGCTTCGAATCTAGGTATCAACCAACCTAGTTCGAAAGATGGGCATGTGGGATCGTCAAATTCAGTCTCATCTACTGAGTCAAAACCTAGGAGGAGAGGAAGGCCCAAAAAAAAGCCTTTCAAAGATGAACAAGAACTCTTGGTGAATAGGCCAGCACATCATGAATCAGGCAGGCCGAAACGCTGTGTTGGTCAACCTTCTCAGCATGAAATCGTTGGCCAGCACTCTGAAGATTCACAAGAATCGAGGTCCTATAGTTGTCGAGGCTCTTGTTAGCATGAACCTGGGGCAACTATATATTTGGAACTTCTAATTTTTTTTTAACTTCATGAAATGTACTATACATTAGTGTAACAATTTATTTTTCTCATTACATTTGGTGAGACAATTAAAAAAAAATTCCTACCTGGCAAAAATGTCACACCAATCCAAGCACAGACTGGCATGAGGGTGTGATGATATAAGTGTAGGTACGTGACTTGGTTGTACTTTTTCCTAAGAACGAAAAATACCTGGAAAATAGATTAGTTATTGATAGCATGGTATAATCAAAAGGAACTATCATTACCGTGTCTAATAATTCTGTTAGTTTGAAGAAGAAATATAACCACACTCCTCTGGCCATCTGAAAAAATTACAAAATTAGTTTGGATACTCACAAGGTTCATAATAGTAGATTATACCACGAATCAATACAAAAAAGGAATTATTCCCAGTAGTATACTCCACTTTATTAACGACTTGTACTCTTGGATTTTGTTGTGTTTGAATCCCGAACTTGAGTTCAGTGGTTTTTATACAGTGTTTATCAACCAAATGGAATACGTTCGATGATGAATTAAAAGGGGCGTTTTCAAAAAAAAACGCTTGGACACAACGATTCATATTTTCAGAAGCGCATCCTTCTCAACAAAAACTTTCTATACAGGGTGTGTCATATAACGTTTCAAAACGAAGTGATGTGCCTTGAAAATGTCACCATGACGTTTGCGAAAAAATGCCAGTGTTTACTCTAGTTCATCCTCAAATGATTGAAAAGCTTTTTTTCCTTAAGTAAATAAATGTGTTCTTACCCTCATTCCTTTTTCTCCTGGTACTACTGGTTGACAAGCAAATTTGTAGTCTGTTGCCCATCCTGCTTCTAATCCCTGAAAATGAAAAAAACACAGTTCCATGAATATAGTGACTAGTCGAAAATTGTTATATGAGAATAACAAATCTTCGATTATTTGTTCAGTTCTAGATATTCACTTGAGACTATATCCACCCTCAGTAACTCCTAGAAATTTTTTTTAAAGAAAAAATGATACACGTCAGTTTTTGTTCGGACAGGGACACTGTTTGACGTAAAAAAAAAAACATTCTCTGGGGAGTAGAGGATTACTTCCCCTCTATAATTTGAAGGGACTAATGGTTATGTTGCAAAAGTTATAGGTCAAAAGTGTCACTTTTGATTCGAATGAAACAACCTACTATTGTCTTCAAATGACATTGAAGTGGCATTTCTCTGACACTCAATAGGCATAGAAAGTGAATTTTTACTGCCTTGGCTGAAAAAGTTTGCTGCTATGCAACGTTCCAAGTAATTTGAATCAAATAGGTGATCAGCATTGACGATGACATTGGGTGAACACAGAATGATGGAGTGTGCAATAAAAAAATACACAAAATTGGTTCTACAACATTTGGAGAAGAAATTATATGGTCAACATGCCAGAAAAGGAGATTCAATGCCTTGGCGACTTTGAATCTCGTCTTTTTCTGCCTACTAGTGCATTATTTCTTCAATATAAGGCAGAACGTCCTTTCGTATTACAGATGAGAGATTGGCACTCCCAAATTTTCCCAAACAGATGGATAGGTGATAAAGGACCGATAGAATGTCTAGCATGCTTGCCGGACTTGGCACTCATTGATTTCTCCCGTTACAATCATTTCAAATCCGTTAATAATTATAAACGGAACCTATACTGATCTGGACGATTCGGAAAGGAAAATCAGTACTGAATGACAGACAATAACTAGAGAAACATTTTCAAATGTGCAACAGTACCTAATTCGCAAATAGACCCTACTATAGGGAGGGTGGCTCTGGGATATACTCTAAGTCACTACTACAATAGTTCATTAAATGAATGAGAATGGTAGATAACGAGAGAAAATCAAATACATTCCTGGCTATGTGCGTCCCGGAATCTATGCAACAATTCGTATAGACGCATACAGTTGACTACCTACAAATTGGTATCAAGCTTTGGCTCTCATCGGTGCAGCGGTGTCCTCAGATGGCATTCATGGCCGCCATCTGGGGCGAACATGACCCTCGACCACTGCGAAATATATGGAACAAACATCGTCTAGGGCAGGAGGAATCACTCCAAGGCTGAAATTCACATCTTGGAAGAAATGGGAGTGACTGATTGCCCGTCTGGCGTATTTTCAATTAGGAATAGGCCAAAATACTCAAAGTGGAATGAAAAAGTAACAATATGGGAAGAAACTCAAGAATATCGTTTTATTTAAGAGTTATCGATGAAAGATAGTCTGGTTTTACATATAAACATAACAAATAATGTCAATAATTTCATCTTCCACATGTAGATACATATAATAACTTACCCAATATAACTACCCTTAAATTATCGGGTACATAACTAATTATTTCCAGTATAGGTAATTATATTTATAGTCAAACTACCTTCTCGGAATATATAAATAACTCATTATTTGCAAATGTCATCATGAAGTATTTGAATATAAATATTTCCGAAGTATTCAAATAGGTAGTTCTGAAGTATCCCATACTTTTTGTATTGATTATTTTAATACTTTTTGACCTTCGTAATCATTTAATATTCAAAATTTGCTCAATCCACTCAATTATCTTAAAGGCAATAATTCAATATGCCTTAGCTGATGAGTTTGGAGAGTTAATTACCGGGAGTTGAATTAACAGATAGTGTCCCTTAGTATCAACATAACTACTATTATCAGCAATATTTTAACTTTCGTTTTGAGTATTTCGCAATGACCTTTTCTAATGAGTCATTTAGTTTTACGATATCACTATATTTATTACCATCCAAGCTATCGTATTTATTATTATACCGGGTGTTCCTGAGCTATTAGGCCAGGATATTTCTGGGTTATCTTAAATACAAAAAATAAATAAAATTGTGATATACATCTTCCTAGAAAATAAGCGCACCACCAAAAAGTATCCAGAAGTTTGATACATTTTCGTCAAAACTCCAAGTGGAATGTAACTTGATTACTTCTGAAGGCGCACGGCAGAGAATGGCTCAAATCGAAGACCTGGACCAAAATGAAATATATGGTCATCCCTTATTTTGAGTAAAGGCCGTCTTTGCTCAAAAGTTATATTCTTGTCAGAAGTGAGAATACTCGCTATTGACCCTTTTTGGAAGTATCAGTTTTCCATAAAATCATGTTACGATATAAAATGGTGTTCCTCGTGTAATAGGAAAGGTAATGGAGTGAATCCGAAGCATAAAATAAATGTTGAAGAAAAATAAGGCTATAATTTAATTTTAATTTCCATCTAGATAGTGTAACTATTACACTTCACAGGGTATTACTAATTAATATGAAAAATCGTAAAGATTGATCAATCTTTGTTCAACAACCTAGGAGGAGTAAATGTTACACTACGAATAATTTCGAAAGGGAAGGGGGTTAAATGGCATATTATTTCGAAGCGCGTTCAATTCTCCTCCATATCATTTTTTGTTTAGCAGTTTCCGAAGAATGCCCTGTCAAATAGAAATCGTCCCACCCAAAATATATTCCTCACAGTAAATAATGTGAAACATCGAAAGGACAGGTCAATTTCATTTCCAAGGAGGACCGTTCAAATGCACATTCTCAGTCCTCTTGAATCAACCCTCTAGGAGGAGTAGATGTTACCCTTGGAACCTCATATGAAAAGGGGGTTCGAGGTGCACATTATTTTGAATTCTCTCTCAAAGAGTACCCTAGTTCATCATTTTTGATGACCAGGTTCCGAAAAAAGCCGTTCTAAATCACAGAAGTAATGATTTGAAGATGCCTTAGTATCATTGTATTAACTATCTTTTCAGTTCAACTGCTTATTCTTCGGAACTATAGTATAACAAAAGCCATCAAGAGTGTATATATACAGAGAAGTGCACAAAAAAAATTGCCAGGATTGTAACTTTCGAATTATTCTCGATAGGGTTTCGAAAATTGGTGGGTAGAAAGTATACCGCTTTGCTCATCAATTGATGATACCATTTTTCTTCCATCACTTCCAGTTTCACCGGAAATGACTCCAACTTTTGATTTTTAAATGGACACCCTATATTGTATTCTATAATCGGTTAGGGATTAGCATGACGAATTCAACGATACCGGGTTTGATATGGTTATTTCCAACGATTACAAAGATATTAGCGTTCGAAGTTTCTTTATGCTCAATGGGTGTGATTTCACGATATCAAAACTTCATTCTCTGTCACACTCGTTGAGCACATGAATTTATTATGACAATCCCTAACCGATTATGGAATACAATAAAGGACGTCCCATTTAAAAATCGAAAGTTTGGGCCATTTCCCGTAAAAACGGAAGTGATAGAACAAAAATTGTATCGTCAATTAATGAGCAATTTTGTATACTAGCTGCTCAGCAATTTTCAAAACCCTATCTCGAATAATTCAAAAGTTACAGTACTGGCCGTTTTTTGTGTGGCGTATATTTCGGAAAAAAGTACTCACTTTTTTCCCGTGAAAAAAGTGACATTTCATAACCTGTTTCTCATAACCTGTCAACAGAGATGAAATTTCAAACTTTTTACCCGTCACAGAAAAAAATCTTGTATGCACCACAAGCGTTACTAGATCCTAAGGCCCTAAATAACTATAATTATTCTTTATCATTTTGACTATAACGCTATTACGATCGTAATTTATAGTCGAATTGATAATGAGAAGTTTCATAAAATGAACCGAAACAAACATGGGGGTGCAATTTGCAGAAACCAAAATAAATGGTGGTTTCTAGTAGATTGCTTAACACAAGGGTGATTTGATCTCACCATTTCGGAAAGCTTAGGCTCCCATGAAGTTCACAATTTTTTAACATTCTTTCTATGCTATACACAGATATCTATTGGCCTAAAAGATCTGAGACACCTGGTATACCCATTGTTACTTATAGTTTCACAGTTGTCTCACTTACTTCGTAAACTAGATACATGCTGGAAAATACTTGGATGAGATTGTATATTTGTATGGTCCTTTTGAGTTCATAAGGTTTCCTGTGTTTCATATATTTTGGTCCAGCCTTTGTACAGAAGTATACATATGTTACTAGAATCACTATTAAATGTCCCAGTTTTCCAGATAGAAACCAATCTGTCGTCCGTGGATCTGAAAAAATAAAAATGGAAATATCAGGTGATTTCTTCTTCGAAAGAGCATTGGGGATGTTCAAATACTACGTATATACAGGGTGTAATTTAATTGGTAGTCGAAAATGAAGAATATGGTTCCTTATATAGCTCATTATGAGAAGAAAGGTTAATATGGACATATGCCCTAGACCTCTTGACTTTTGAGCTGAAGGGGGTTGAAATTTCAAGAAGAATTTTTTTTTATCATAGCTTGGATAAGTACATGAAATTTGACATGTAGCTACTGGGCACTGATGCAGGAGACTTTTCAATACTTCTGCTAGTGGCGTCCGTATGGGATGTAAACTGGAGATTTTTCTGAAATAAAATCATACTCCCTCGCTTTTTTTAGTTTAGAATTCCTGATTCATTTTGGGACAATTGAACCCCGTGATTTTTTTTTCGTTTGACGCACTGTTATCCCGTAAAATTATATAAATCCTAATAATACGCCAAGGTAGTGAAGAATATCAATATCACCCAGGGACCAAGAATATGTCCCGAGGCTTCAGCAATAACCTTTCTTGGGAAAATCACGTGAGCAATTGCTAAAAGTGCATCCCAAAAACTTGGTTCTCTGTTTCGGGCCAGAAGCTATTTCACTTCCAGTCAGCTGCTTATGAACAATAAGGCACAGATTCGACCTGTCCTGGAATACTGTTTCCATATTTGGAGTGCAGCACCCAAACATACCCTGAAACTATTGGATTCTGTCCAAAAAAATGGCGATTCGTCTCGTGGGTGATGCCTCGCTCACAAACTCACTCACTTCTCTGGAACACCGCAGAAAAGTTGGCGATCTGGCTCTATTTCAGAGATATTCTCATAGACGATGCTCTTCTGAAATATCAACAATTGTTTCTCCCTTGGCAGTCCCCGCGAGATTATCCCGTCGAGTTGAGGCTTCGCACCCCTTCGTGGTCACTTTGGAGACCTGCAGAACATCTCTTTCCAAAGACTCGTTCATCTAACGAACAGCGAGGCTCTGGAACACATTGCTAAGGGAGGTGTTCCCCGAGGCATATAACCTCCAGAAGTCTAAGAAGAACACCAATTCCTACCTTAATTCCCTTGGTTCTCACGATGTTCTCTGAACAATACAGGATATCCCTTTATGTAGGAACCAGTACATAAAAATAAAAAAATAAAAATATTGTCCTGTACGTACTTCATACCATTCATGTCAGAGGATTTCATTCATGTGTTTGTTTTGTATGTATTTCGATCATAAATTAATGGATTAAATCGGTGAATATCCGGCTAGGGTTCCTTGCATTCCCCATTCCCGTACCACAAGTTATGATCTTAACGTTTTTGTTAAATCATATTTTGGGAGAGTACCGTCGAAGTGCATGTATAATGTGCATGTTGAAATGATTTCTAATATGTATAATTAATCAATGATTAAATACAGAAGACCATGACAAGTTGAATAAATCATAATTTTAATATGATTATTGATTTCATAAGACTATAATTTCGATTGGAACCATTCGAAATGTTGTATTTAACGTACCTACTTCTTCTAATCCCAAGGTTTCAGTTCACACATCATAGCTATACAGGGTGTTTCACAGTTCAGTATCAAGATCTCTGGGGCTCATTGTCCAGATCAAAATGAGACTTGTTTTTTTCCTGATGTAAACATTAGTTCAAAAATTGTTTTCTCTTTATAGCTTTTTTAGTATTCGAGATATTCAGATCAAATTGAGATTGTGAGAATCTACATGTGGATATATTCTAGGTGTAAGGCTCTTTTTTGATCCATAAAGTTGTTTGTGGTGCTTCACTGGAAAATTTTTAAATACGACATGAGTTCTTTGTTTTGTTTATAAACATTTGTTTTCCTATAGTTTTCACGGATCTGCGACTGTTATCGAAAATGAATTGTTATTTATTATACAAGGGAAAAAAGTTTCAAACTCCTTCCCCGCCACTGCAAAATATCATTCTTATAATTCGTTTGATTTAATTGTCTTTAACAAAAGGAAGGAGCATGATATTTAGAACATCTCTTATACAAGGTGACGATAATATAGATTTTTTCAATTGTATCGCTCTGAATCTTACTATTAATAGATATGCCAGTAGTACCAATATCTTTTTGTACAGTCGTCTTCAGAGAACATGTTGCACATCTCTTGATTATCGCTGCAATATGAGCGCTCATACCGTCCAACCGCGACATGTTCACTGAAGACGACTGTACATCGATATGCTCACGTTCACTGCTTGACTTGAGTATTAGGCAACAGAAATGAAATGCAAACAATGTAATAGTTCTTATATCCTTGTGAAGAAGGTAAGAAAAGATGTACAACCTAGAAAAACACTTGAAAATATTTGCATGCTGAAGTCATATAACATACATTGCACATTTTGAATTAGGAACGATAAAATGTGAAGATGGCCATTGGTTATATCTTATATCTCTATCAAACTCATCCAAATAGATGAACCCATATTATACAGGGTGGGCCACCAGTAACGCCTCGGTCTCTAGAAGGCTAACCACTTATCTTCTTGGAATTCTTCCTTTCTAGGAAGTTGCATGTCAACATAGGCTACCATTTGAAATTATTTTGAAACATACAGGATCCCCAAAAATCACAAAACACTGAAGTTGTACTTTTTTCAATCGAACACCCTATATATTATTTCATTTTGAGATTCTCCCTGGTGAGCTGATTTCAACAATCCATCATACTTGGGGTCTAGCAGTTATAATTACTGAGATATAGGGTGTGAGAAATCGAGATTTTCCAAGTTCAAGAATTTTTTGTGTCTCAACCATTCATAATTGGTCAAAACGGCTCACATGTCCCTATGTCAACTTTTGCTCAACTATCTACTGACATTTAATTGAAACAAATACAGGGTGGTGCAGAATTCAGAATCTTGATCACTCGGTATATGTCCCAATTGAATATCAGTAGATAGTTAATCAAAAGTTGAGATAGGGACATGTGAGCCGTTTCGACCAATTATGAATAGTTTCGACACAAAAAATTCTTGAACTTGGAAAATCTCCATTTTTCACACCCTATATTTCAGTAATTATAACTGCTAGACCCCAAGTGTAATGGATCGATGAAATCAGCTCTCCAGGAAGAATCTGGAAATGGAATAATATATAGGGTGTCCCTTACATAAAATCAAAGATGTTGCTACTTTTCAATATAAGCGGCAACGTCGCAGTGGTGAGAATATTTTGGGTCGATAGAACACAACTAATTATCCAAGGGACCAAATTTTCAGTATGATCCTACGTTGCGTTCTCCAGAAACGTCTATTAATGTGCCATCCACCGTGAATCAGCCTGTATATTTCACTATATTCCTATCCTCAGAAATAGTTCAGAAAATTCATATCCAAACCATAACAATAACCCGAACAAAAAAGGTCAAAATTATATTTTCGATAGACAATCCTGATATCAAGGAAATCTACTTAGTATTAAAATTCATGCAGATATACCTACTTATTGTATTTTCAATCGAGAATTGTTTTTACCACGAAAAACACGTTATCATGATCAATCAACACAAAAGTCTTGATAACATTTTCACTATACAGTGGATGTACAGGTTGTCCCAAATTATTCTCTAATCGCTAAAAATTTTAGTCATTTTGATTCCTCTATCAATTATCAAATAAAGAGATTCGGAACAGGGTTGTTGACAGCATTTTGTAGAATATACCGAAGAATCTTTTCATGTGAACAAAACCAGACACGTATGCAGCTCCTTAATGAATATCACATGTGGTGTACCGCAAGGGTCAGTCATGGGACCAGCTTCATTTCAAATTTACATAAATTCAATCTCAAACTTGGATTGAAAGGGAAACTCGAATTATTTGGAGATATCCCGACATTGATTCAGTGAAAATAACATCTTATCTACAAAAAAAACTTAATCTTATTACAGGCATTCAATTTGAAATTCGAAATTTTATGACTACTAGATACTTGAAGAATATTTATTTCTCTCTTATATATTCAAACTTTCAAGACCTATCAAATATACATATATATAGTGGAAGGGTAGTCGTTGCTGACTAGTTAGGTATCGATTAGTAAACAGTGAGGTTTTGCAGCAAGTAAAAGAGAACTACTTGGAAATTATCCAAGCTTTCGGAATTTTATTGATTCCATCATCAGGGGAAACTACAATAATTATTATTGCCAGTAATACGATGTATAAGTTCTCAAAAATGTTGTACCTACATCTACGTGAGGATGAATACCATGATGTTAACAATAATCATTCAAAATGACTTGTGATTCATCATTTATCATCTATTTTGCGGTTCGCATTTATTTATTTCAGGAGTGCCAAAAGATACAGTACATATGAAACCCTACAACTTTCATATTCGAGGTTTTTCCACCTCGTATAGTTGAAGCTGTAGGTAGAGGTCAAAATATAATGGAACACCGTGTACAATAATAATAACAACAGAGGACCAAGAACAGATCCCTGTGGGACACCGCATTTTATTTCCATATTGAATGACACTTTTTGAACGTTTCGCTTTTATAAGAAAATTGAATTCTATCCCCCGTTGCCTGGTCTATAATTTCAACACGCAGATATTGGGAGATGATTGTACCTGATTCGTAATTTATAGATATGATGGGAAATTTCATCTTGTTCAATTTGCAGGTTGGAACCGGTTGCGTAATATCTCTTAGCTATGTCAACATCACAGTCGTTAAATATTGCCGTAGTTGATATTTCTAAATATCCTAATAGCAGTGAACTCTAAATGTCAAGATTGTAAACTGGCCAATTGTGTATTGAAAATCGAGGATTTGGATTTGTTATAAGTCAATGTTCATTTTGAATTTGGCTATTTTCAACAACTCTCTTCAAACTCAACGTCATTACCACAATATATAGTTCATAAAATGAACAAAAATGGTAGATAACGAGAGAAAAACAACTACTTTCCTGGTAATATGCCACGCAGAACATTGAATTCCATCCTCTCGAAATCTATGCGATAATTCATATAGACCAATAAAATCGCAAGTGTTTTCATCCTAAATGAAGATATGGGGAAATGGGATCTTGTTTTACGTTGAACGCCTCGTGGGGTATACATGCTGAGATGTGTTTAGGTTGGGTCAGGTTCGCACCAGATAGCGGTCAAGAATGCTATCTGGGACAGCCCTGCACTGATGAAAGCCAACAGCTCGAAACCGGTCTAAAGGTAGTTACGCGGTCCTTATCCATTTAGGCGCAGCTCGGCATTTAGGAAGAAAAAACTTGCAATTTCATTCGTCTATACGAATTATTGCATAGATTTCGGGAGGATTTAATCCAATGGTCTGCCTGGCATATAGCCAGGAAAGTAGTTGTTTTTCTCACCTTATCTACCATTTTCGTTTATTTAATGAACTCTTGTGGTAATGACTGTGAGTTTCCGTTTCTTTGTGAATTAAATATTCACCATTGTGAACATCATATTGAAACACCCTATAGAGTTCATGCTGGGGTATTAAAAATGTTAGATGTATACGAAATGAAAGTCTGAATCTATATTTGAGAGAAACGCTATAAAAAACTATCTGACCTCGGTATCTTCTTCATTAAATTTTCTTATTTGTTTTCTATATACCAGTACGGTTCAATCATATATAGATTCAAAATTGGTTTGTGTGGGTTTCCAAGGTCGGCAGTTTCGAATTTGTTGTCGAAATTCATAAATTCAAAATAACGGGCGATACCTATTTGAGGTTCGATAGGATTAATATGGATAATGTTAGATGTATACGATATGAAAGTCTGAATCTATATTTGAGAGAAACTCTATAAAAAAACTATCTGATCTCGGTATCTTATTTATTAAATTTTTTTATTTGTTTTCTATATACCCAGTACGGTTCAATCATATATAGATTCAAAATTGGTTTGTGTGGGTTTCCAAGGTCGGCAGTTTAGAATTTGTTGTCGAAATTCATAAATCCAAAATAACGGACGATATTTGATGTTATATTTGTTTTGATAGGATTAATAGGTATATCAATTGAAGAGTTTGTACTGAATTCGATATGGCGGATGATATGTATAAGTATATTAAATGGAACGGTTGACTGAGAAGAATACGAAAAATGAATTGACGTCACTCTAAATTTAATATTCATTATAATTATAAAGAATTAGAAGCTTGATTTGGAATAATGTTTTTAACTATTGATTTATTGAGATGATGAAGTGTAGAAAAATTATATGAGAAAGTTTTATATGAAAATAAGTGCCTGAATAAATTTACATGTTCATCTATGAAAATAACTTACCAGAATGTTTCTCCATGAAGTGTTTGTAACCATCCATCAATCCGAATAGTCCAGACATTTTGGTAGACAATACCGAGACCTGTAAAAAAGACCATCATTGTATTTATGCGGTGTGAATTTCATATTTGAATGGGTAGTTGTTTCACATAGCCTAACCAAATATGGAATAATATCTAATTCACAAAACTAACAATCTATTTTCTGGGCCATGCTGTACTTTTTGGACATTAAAATAAAATATGCCACCTGGAACTGTGTCTGAAGATATTTTCGAAAAATCTCTAGAGAGACTCGTATGTTAACTATGTTTTTGTTCAAATTCCAAAGTTACTACAGAATTGATTCTAAGTACTATAAGCTTTGTATGGAAATAGTCTACTGATGATTTCATTTAGTAATGTTATGTAAATTCACCACATTATACTATTTGACCCAGCCAATTTGACCTTGAGTAACAAAAAAAATCAAAAGCACAGATTCAACTACCAATCAAATTGAAATCAATATATTTCTAAAAATGTATTCCGCGCAACTAAAATTATTATTGTTCTCTTTACAGAAAGAACAATAATTTCCAATGCTAATAGTCTGAAATCGATAAACTATTCAAAAATAAACATTCAATTCCAGACCACCATTCATCATTTGTGATGACAATATCAGAAGTTGAGTAATTTCTAACAATAGAGTCACTCTTTGATAAAACTGCTTGGTCACTATAACCCTTCGCGGATTCGCGTATCATTGCCCAAATACAGGGTGTTACAAACATTCTTTTAGATGCGATATCTCATCTGATTTGAAAGACAACAAGCTGATAATCTTTGGTAGAAGTCCATTTTTCAAAACAAAAGAAGGAAGGAATGCTCGTCCACAAATTTTAATGGTGTTGTTACACAATTTTCGACAACTCATTCCGATATTTGGGGCCTTCCTGTTGATTTCATTTTCTGATGTGGGCTTTCAAAGAAGATCCTTGCAGGCTACTACCGAGTAACTCCATCCACCATTGATGAATGTGCCATTTCGACAATAAGACATTACAATGAAGGTATTCTGCTCCGAGGAATAAGCCATCCCTCTTTTCAACACGACAATCACGAAGTAGAAAACAGAATCGTTTGAAAATTTTAACGAGAAACTGACAATTGTGAGTTCATCAGCTATGACAGTATAATGATTGATGTCAGAAATTGAATTCGAATGTGTGAATCTCCATAAATGAAAGGCGGCAAATGGAGAAAATATTTCAACGGCTACTACGATGCTACGATCATTTATAGAAACCCTATATTTGCCATTAGGCTTAAGGCTAACGGTCCTGATGGAATTCCACCCATTATCCTCAAAAAATGTGCACCAGAATTAACACCGATTCTCTGCAAGTTGTTTACCATCTCGTACAGGTCGGGTATTTTTCCATCATGCTGGAAGACAGCTAGAGTTCAACCAATCCCCAAAAAAGGGAACAAGAACTTGCCCAACAACTACAGGCCCATTGCCCTGTTATCAGTAATCTCCAAAGTGATGGAGAAAGCCATCAATATTGAGCTTATCAAATATCTGGAGAGCTCAGGAATCATCAATGATAGACAATACGGCTTTCGCCACCGAAGATCTACTGGAGATCTACTTGCCTACGTCACCCATTTATGGCAATCTTCAATAGAAAAACACGGGGAATCTCTAGCTGTCGCGTTGGACATATCGAAAGCATTCGACCGTGTTTGGCACGAAGGACTCCTCCACAAACTACCATCATACGGCTTACCACCTCAGCTATGCCATCTCTTATCGAGTTTTCTTTCAGGCAGATCGCTTCACGTGGTGGTGGACGGTGTATCGTCTGATACCATTGGCATCAATTCCGGCGTTCCACAAGGATCAATTTTGGCACCAACATTATTCCTGCTTCATATCAATGATCTGTTGGGAGTAACAACTTGCCCCATCCACAGCTTTGCAGATGATAGTACCCTCCATACTGCTTTCTCTTCCAGAATTCCCATTTCTTCCCAGGAAACTAAGACCTCACGGCGCAGGCAGGTCAATGCTGTCAATGAAGATCTTGCTGAAATCACAGCCTGGGAAACAAACAACCTAGTTGAATTCAACGCCACCAAAACTCAAGCCTGCATTTTCTCTAGAAAGGCGGAACTCAGTATGCCCGATATTGTAATGTCTGGCTCCACCATCCCCACCAAGCCCACTATATCTATGCTCGGTATTTCCATCAGCAACACTCTTTCATGGGATAATCATGTCAGATCCATCGCAAAAGCTGCTTCCCAAAAACTCGGATTCTTGTTCCGTGCGAAAAGCTACTTTACACCTCAACAGCTTCTCATGATCTACAAAGCGCAGATACGGCCTGTTCTAGAATACTGTTCCCACATATGGGGTTCAGCACCAAAACATACGCTGATGCTCTTAGATTCCATCCAGAGAAGAGCCATTCGCTTGGTGGGTGACGCCACACTCACTCACTCTTTGACATCATTAGAACACCGTAGAAAGGTCGGCGACCTTTCACTTTTCTATCGATACTTCCACGGGAAATGTTCTTCGGAAATCTCTGCTATCATCCCTTCACTAGCAATACCAATCAGACGAACTAGACAAGCCCAGTCAGCACATCCTTTCGTTGTCAACCTCGAAAGATGTCGAACAGCACTTTATCAAGACTCCTTCATCCATAGAACGGCTAGGCTCTGGAATTCATTGCCTGTGGAAGTATTCCCAACAACATATAATCTCCAAAAGTTCAAAAAAAATTCCAATACCTACCTCCTGTCCCTATCCTCCCTAGGAACGCACGATGTTCTTTGAACATTATAGGGATTCCCTCTCGTGCGCTCCAAGCGATAAAAAAAAAAAAAAAATTCCATGAGGTTTAGGGCATATGTTTATATGAACTGAATATATATTATTATATATTCTTTTTTTCAATTCTGTGAATGCAAACCCTGTATATTTTATTGGATTGAAATAATGTACATCCGAAACAATAATGAGGCAGTTTCAAAATTCCTTTCAAATAGATAGTTAATGAAGGAAAAGACAAGATTCAGCAAGGCCTTCATTGAGTACGTACTCACCTACTTTCCTTTGCCGCCATTCTATCATTAAAAATGAATAATCGTTCAGAATGCAACAATTTCATGTTTGATGATTACAAAAGATAGTTGAGCCAACAATATCTATAATAATTGTGCGTATAACGTGCCTATACAGGGTGTACCGAAAACGATCAAGACAACTGCGAGATCATTTTTTTTTTTTAAAGAAATGCCATGTGAAGTAATTGAATACAATATGCCCACCTTGGGCCATTTTGTTTTGTAAAAAAAATAGTGGGTAATGAGGTACTACGGCAATCACTTCATGATAAAGATTAACATGTTCAGAACCTGAAAAACAATAATTACTATAAAAAATTGGTTTGTAAATGTAAAAAATTTATTATCCCATTTAGGAAAACAAAGTTTGAATGGCCATATTGCCAACACGGTATCGGTAATACGCCAATTCATGCTAAAGTCAAGAATTATCAAATATGAAACTGACTTCAATTTCCTTAGTTATCAAACCAACACAATCCTCATGAACATATTTTCTGCAGATAATGCACAATCGCATATCATGAGTCTCTTCCATCTAACACTTCTTTTAGGTGCTGATGTACTTAGATTTAGGAACTGTAGCCCATGTGCATATTGTCAACTTCGCATGACGGGCATATTGCTACACATCAATAAGTTAAATATAAGGTTAGGTTATGTTTTTGTCTTGAGTACTAGAATAAATCGATTGCTTTCCACCACAATCTAAGCTTCAATACCCATGTATGGAACACAAAATATTGCAAATCATTAACATTGTCTTTCATAACTCTATTCGCGAAAATCACGAAGTGTGCGGCCTCTGGTGGCTAACTTTACAAGTCTTGCGAGTATGAACAAAAATATGGCGACCATTGATTTGAGTTCCTGTGTTTTATTTGAAAACAATTCATTTGTTGAAGTGCATTTTCTAGAACCTCACTATTCCCTGATGAAAAAACTCGAATTATTGCATGAACTTTTATTGTTTATAATGAAGAAGCCAGTACCTAGCTTATAATAATATAATATACATTTTCTGAAGCACAGTTAGAATCCTTGTATAAATGTTGGTTGCAATGATTCGATCTTGAGAATAACTTCAAGTCTTCAATTGCTGGAGATCCTCGTTTATGTAAATCGATGATATTGTTCATTCTGAGCAGCCTCTCCAACCATATCTTCTTTTCCCAGCCCTTTCACCAGAATTCCATCTCCTTCATAAGAGCCAGTGATATTTCTTGATGAATTCAATTATTTCTTCATACCTATACCACAGTAGAGAGCTATACCATATTGTTGTAATAGCTGATTGCTTATATGGCTCCATTCCAGCAGTCCATGCAAGTGTTGAGTGGACCATTCCGACCATTCCATATGTTTGAAAACTGTGGAATGGGGAAGACCACTGATTTTTTAAAACCACATTATCGTGAACTCTATACTGAGAAACTACCAGTGAAATAATTTTGAATTTTTTCATTCATGCTAAGACGATGAAAAAAATAAATTAGTATATGTCCATTTCAAAACACACAATTCCTGCGCCATTTGAAATTTCATCAATTCATTGGTGTGACTGGTGCGACGTCTTAGTCCCAACACGCCTATTGTCCTTGAACTGGCCAATTATACTGCAACACTGCAGAATGACGAGGTATCAGAGAGAGATAGCTACAGTTCGGGACTAATACGTCACGACTCCACCATCATATTTGGCTGTTTGAAATATCGAATGAAATTTGCTGATTTCAAAACGATATAGACTCGATTCCCTTCAACTTCAACTCATAATATTGATTGTACATAAAATGTAAATCATGATTCGTCGATTGAAAGAGGTTTGCACGGATTTCTTCCCTCAGTGGTCTTCCCCATTGTAGTGTGATATCAATGATGAATACCACCATTGTCCACATCAAAATGGCAATTTCTCTGCACAAAGAGTAATTTTTTC